CAGGTTGCTCAGAGCTCCATTCAGCCTCAACCTTGAACGCTTCCAGGGATGGCCTTCCATCACCAGTCCCAGGCAAATGTTTTCTCTTCAAGTTGTCCTGGTTTCATTAAAATTGATTTCAAAGCTAAATCACATAAACCACTGCAAACCTCTTTATTTTACTTTGAAGAATGTGGTTCCAGCCCTCCTGATCATCCTGTCCTGAGCTGAGACTGTTTTCCAGAGAGGGTAGAATTAATTTGATGTTGGTTTGGAAGCCATTGGCAGTTAAACTGCTGCTGTAGCACTTAACAGAAAATGTTCATGTCCTTCTAGGAACCTATGGATATTTGTGTCAAAATTCACAGAATTTGATGCCAGAAAACTACACAAGCTCTACAAGATGGCTCATAAGAAAAGATCACAGGAAGAGGAGGTGAGAGCTGAAGTGCTTTCCCTTTGATTTCTGTCCTTGAAAGTTGCTGCACTGGAAGTGCCAATCCTTTCTGCCCCTTACCCTGGGTGTTCTTTGTTGTTGGCACTGTGATTTTCTAAACACCTAAACAGTCTGAGTGCATTTGCCTTCTTTTTCATGTGGCATTTCTGGTCACTTTGTCCTGACTGTCCTGACCAAGCAAAAGCATTGTTTGGTGTGGCATGTGATGTTCAGTTGCCCTGTGGAGTGAAAAGCCTGGGCGTGCTGCCCTGTAGAGATCGGGTGTGGAAGCAGAGCTGCCAAACTGTGCTAAACTTGAGCACAGAGTTGGCTCACCTCAAAGAGGCAGGAAAATCCAGAGCCTGGCAGACAAGGCCATTGCTCACAGTCTGGGTCTTTTGGTGGGAGAGCAGCTGAGCTGTATCCCTCTGTTCCACCTTGCAGGAGCAGAAGAAGAAGGAAGACATGTCCAGCATGAAGAAGCCGTTCCGCCCAGAGCCTTCGGGCTCCAGCCGTGATTCCGTGATGTCCCAGTCCCACGTGCCTCACAATCCTCATTCCCAGAAGATCCACATGCCCCCTTCCCACACCCAGCAGCAGATGCACGGGCACCCCCGGGACAACTACGGCCATCCAAACAAGAGACATTTCAGCAACACAGGTGAGCGCTGGCCGGCCAGGAGAAACCTTCCCTTGTGACCTAATGCTCCTGGACACAAATCCTGCTGGGACTTGTGACTGCTCAGGTTTAAAGGGGATGGGATAGAACATACACTACCACTGTACTTATTGCTGGGCTAGGAAACATGGTGATGTGGTGAGGAAAAGAACGTGAGAATGGGACAGAGGAAGATTTGCAAGGATG